TTCCCTTTCAATTTCATTGAATAATTTGAGGAGTGTCGGCATTAGGTCTTCTTTATATTTCTTGTAGAATTCTGCAGTGAATCCATCTGGGCCTGGGCTCTTCTTGGTGGGCAAGGACCCAATTACATTCTCAATTTCATTAGCAGAGATTGGGTTATTCAACAGTTTTATATCCTCTTGATCTAGCTTTGGTACTTCATATGCTTCTAAGAATCTGTCTATTTCTTCTGTGTTATCAAACTTTTGAGAGTAGAGGTTTTCGAAATAGGTGTTGATGATCCTCTGTATTTCTATTGGGTCTGTAGTGATTTCTCCTTTTTCATTTCTTATTGCATGAATTTGAGCTTTTTCTTTCCTTTTTTTAATAAGGTTGGCTAGGGGCTTATCGATTTTATTTATTCTTTCAAAGAACCAACTCTTTGATTCATTGATTCTTTGGATTGTTTTCTTAGTCTCTATTGCATTGATTTCTGCTCTGATTCTTATAATTTCCTCTCTTCTTTTGGCTTTGGGCTTGACTTGCTCTTCTTTTTCTAGCTGTTTGAGGTGTAGCATCAAGTTATTTACTTGTATTCGTTCTGTTTTCCTGATGTGGGAACTCAGTGCAATAAATTTTCCTCTCAGAACGGCTTTCATTGCATCCCACAGATTCCGGTAAGATGTATCTGCATTTTCATTTTCTTTTAGGTATTGTTTAATTTCTTCTTTAATTTCTTCTGTGACCCACTGATTACTCAAGAGTGTGTTATTTAGTTTCCATGTGTTTGTGGAATTTTTGCAGTATCCTTTGTCATTAATTTCTAATTTCAGAGCGCTATGATCCGATAATATGCAAGGGATGATTTCAACTCTTTTGCATTTGCTTAAATATGTTCTGTGAGCTAATATATGGTCTATTTTAGAAAATGATCCATGTACTGCTGAGAAGAATGTGTATTCTGATGTTGTTGGGTGGAACATTCTGTATATGTCTATCAAACCCATTTGTTCACAGGTGTGATTCAGTTCTGTTATTTCTTTGCTCATTTTCTGTCTGGTTGATCTGTCCCTTGGTGTCAGTGGTGTATTAAGGTCTCCTGTTACAATTGTGTTACTGATAATTTGGGTTTTCATTTCTGTTAATAATTGTTTTATATAACTGGGTGCTCTGGAGTTTGGTGCGTATATATTTAAGATAGTTATCTCTTCCTCTTGGAGTTTTCCCCTTACGAGTATGTAGTGACCTTCTTTGTCCTTTATGGTCATTGTTGGTTTAAAGTTCTCGTTGTCTGCAAACAGAATGGCTACTCCTGCCTTTTTTTGGATTCCTGCTGCATGAAGAATTGTTTTCCATCCTTTGACTTTCAGTCTGTGAGTATCTTTCTGGGTTAGATGGGTTTCCTGTCAACAGCATATGGTTGGATTTTGTTTCTTGATCCATTCTGCTAGTCTGTTTCTTTTGATTGGTGCATTGAGACCATTTACATTAATGGTTATTACTGTTAAATGCTGGTTAATTGTAGGAATGTTATCTCTCTGCTGTTGCATCTTTATCTTTCGGTTCTGTTTAATTATTTGCTTTGCTTAGTGGTTTTTTCCTTTGTGTATCTAAACTGTCTTTCAATATTTTTTGCAGGGTTGGTTTGGTGTTCATGAAGTTCTTCAGCTGTTCTTTGTCATGGAAGTATCGTATTGCACCATCTATTTTGAATGATAGTTTTGCAGGATATATCAGTCTTGGTTGGAAATCATTTTGCTTTAGGATCTGGAATACTTCACTCCATGCTCTTCTTGACTTTATCGTTTGTGCTGAGAAGTTTGCTGTGATTCTGATAGGTTTTCCTTTATAAGTGATTTGTCTTTTCTCTCTGACAGCTTTTAATAATCTATTCTTGTGTTGGATTTCTGGGATGGTGACTATTATATGTCTGGGTGTAGTTTTATTTTGGTTATGACTGTTTGGAGTTCTATATGCTTCACTGATCCTGATGTCAGTTTCTGATCTCATGCTTGGGAAATTTTCAGCTATTACTTCTCTAAATATCCTCCTGACATCCTTCATGTTGTCTCCCTCTCTTTCATTAATCCCTATCATTCTTATGTTATTCTTCTTTGCATCGTCTTGCAGTTGTTGAATTGTTGTTTCCTGGTTCCTTGTTATTTTCAAAAGATCTTTCCTTTCCTGTTCACTAGCTGCAATCCTGTCTTCAAGGTCTGAAATTCTATCTTCACTTTCATTAAGGCGGTTTTTACAACTTTCAGTGGAGTTTTTTATTTCCTGTATATCTCTGTGCATCTGCATTATGTATTCTGTTTGTTTCTTATATTGCTCGTCTAGGGATTCTATCTTTTTGTTTAGTTCCTCCAATTTTTTATCTGTGTTTTCTTTAGATATATTTAGAATCTCTTTCATTTCTTTTATCATTTCTTCTTTTATCTGGGAGATTATTTCGAGTTTGAATTTCTTTAAAGCTTCCTGGAGTTGCTTGTCAATTTCAGTGGCTATTGTGTCCGATATATGAGGTGGATGGGATATATTTTCTTCTATATACATCGCTCCTAGGGTTTCTTGAGATGGGCTGGAGGTTTGAGGTTGTAATTTGGTCTTTCGTTTTGTCATTTTCCTATATTTCTGTGTTTCAAGTGTTACTTGAAAGCTTCCTCAGGATCTGTTGAAAATCCCCTTCTATGTTTGGAGCTACTGGGACTCTGGCGCCGCGCTACTCCAAGCCATTAGGCCTACAGAACCAGTGGCCCTCCTCTGCCTGCTCAGAACTCCGCAGTTCCAGACAAGCTGGGCCTCAGGGACACTGTGCGCCCACCTGCCCCTTGGAAGCTCCACAGTTCTTCAATCGCAGCCGGGTTAGGGTACTCACCACAGGCCGCAGTGCTTCAGGAACCTGTGGACCTTCCCTGGTTGCAGAGATATCCACAGTCCTCCAGACACGCAGAGAGGCCAGTGAGGGCACCCCAGATCTGCCCAGCTCCTCCTCTGCAGACCTGTGGCCAGGCGCGGCAGCTAAACAGGCTGGACTAGGCTGGTAGTGTGGGCCAGCCCACCTATCGGGAGCTCAGCAGGTCTCCAAATGAAGCCGGGAATGGGGAGGCTGATGTGGAAGCCTTAAACCCACCTCTCTCCTTCACTGCACCTGGAAGCCTGAGGGAACTCCAGCAGTCTGGGCGCAGAAATCCAGAGTCCTCCAGACACGCAGAGAGGCCAGTGAGGGCACCCCAGATCTGCCCAGCTCCTCCTCTGCAGACCTGTGGCCAGGCGCGGCAGCTAAACAGGCTGGGCTAGGCTGGTAGTGTGGGCCAGCCCACCTATCGGGAGCTCAGCAGGTCTCCAAATGAAGCCGGGAATGGGGAGGCTGATGTGGAAGCCTTAAACCCACCTCTCTCCTTCACTGCACCTGGAAGCCTGAGGGAACTCCAGCAGTCTGGGCGCAGAAATCCAGAGTCCTCCAGACACGCAGAGAGGCCAGTGAGGGCACCCCAGATCTCCCCTTTTAAGACCTTACTTATATACATGAGAGGGTGAAGTTAAATCAGTAGGTGTGGCAGGCTCACTGTAGTCTTTGTATGGTTAAAGTTCAGTCCACTTTTCTCACTTATGGAAACACCAGCTCTGACCCGAACTCCTCAGAAAAGAGAAATATGTGCCTTCTAGTACACCAGAGGGGAGGTTGGGAGTAATGATGATGAGCAGTTTAACCTGGGGGAGTTAAGCCAGCTAATGAAACGTCTTGAATTATTCATTCTACACTCATCCATATCACTTTGTTAAAGCATAAATAGAATTTCTAGTTTTAGCAATGTTTAATGGTAAATTTTCAATTAATTGATCAACCAATCTATCAGCCAATAATTATTTATTAATTTCTAGGTTTATATTAGACCGTGGTAAATAAAGGTATAGTAAGACTCCACAGTGTAATTTCATAGGTAAGAAAGTAAAGCCATATATGCAATACAATTCAGAAGGTAGAACCCAAAATACAACTGTCTTCATAATACATCACCCTCACATCCTACACAGCAAATCCTCTTGAATAAAACCTTTACGTTAGGAACATTTGAGGGTATTTTGTTTATTGAACATTATCGGGGACCAGGCCAAGATCCCCAACTGCCTGCATGTGAGTTTGGCAAAAGAATGAAATAAGAGCCAAATTTAGTAATGCGTGATGGGGGACTGGGAGGGAGGTCAGTGCCTCAGGATGGGCAGAGACCAGGGCACCCCAGGCCAGCTGCTACTTATTAGCTGGTATAGGGGTGGCAAGGTGCTTTTCTTGAAACAGTGCAGAAGGAGTTGTAAAATGGTCAGGGTTAAATAAGAAAGGAATCAGGTAAAGATCCACCCCATACTCGGGTGCTAATCTCAGTGACCCAGAGAGGAAGGTGATTTCCCAGTTCCAAAGCCCAGTTCACAAAGCAGGCAGGGTAAGGAGAGCCTAGGACATACCATGACAGTTTGCATTTCCTGGTCCCCAATAGAACATCTCATCTTCATTCATCAAAAGCATGAATGTACAGTGGGTCAGGAGGGTCTGTGGATGTAACTCAGTGGTACAGCATGGGCTTAGCACATGAGGTAAGTCCTGGGTTCAATTCCAAGCACTGCCCCCCAAAGGTAGTCAGCAATAGACATAATAGCCTCATGACTGCATGTTCCACATAAACACATCTGTGTTCCACCTGCCAGGGGGGGTTCCCAGTGCTACTGAGCTGAAAGCACTGTGTGGAAAATGTTAGTGAATCCGGGAAGGTGAGTTGGGAAAGGCTGAGACACGGTCCACCTGCAGCTGCAGTCCTTGAATGATGCAGGCTGAGAACTCATTGTCAACCTGACTTTAAGAATTTTCATCACCAAGAACACAGATTCTAGAAGGACTGTGTCACCAGCTACATCCCCAGGCTTGGCTGCTGTCACCCCCTTAGCTCCTCCTGAGTGCGTCCCTGTCCCTGACTCTCCTGGGGGAGGTGTCTCTTCCCTGTGCCCTCCTCAGAGTTTCAGTCACGACCCTCAGGCTGTAGATGAGTAGGTTGAGCATGGGCGTGAGGATGGTGTAGAAGGTGGACACCACCTTGTCCTTCTCGGGGGTGTGGTAGGAGTGGGGCAGCACATTGATGTAGAAGGCCGCCCCGTAGAAAATGCTCACCACCAGGACTTGGGAGGAGCAAGTGGTCCAGGCTTTGTGCTGGCCTTGGGCTGAGCTCATGGGGTGCACGGTGACCAGGCTGCACCTAGGAGACTTCGATGAGGGAGATAGGGACCAGCAGCATCTGCAAGGGGTTCTCCCCATTTACACTCTCAGGCAGCAGTGAGGGGCTGCTGGTCCCTATGCATACGGGGTGTCCACTGCCAGGAGCCTGGTGCATCTGCACCTCTGGCTTCTCTCTTTCCTCAGGCCAAATTCAATCATCATGAAATCTTAGATAAAGGATGCTTCTTCTGGGCAGACTGGCCTGAACTGCAGGAAGGCTACCTGCCTGTCATCACTGTTTTTCCTTTCCTGATTACACCTCCGTCATCACCCTCCTGCACTGGAGAATGACCTGCATACCTGTTCACATCACTTGCTGCATGAATTGCCTGACCCTTGGTTATGCAGGATTCCCTCTCTGAAGGTGAGGAAATGTTATACTCCCTTTGCAAGTATCTAAAGTTCCTTAGATATAAAGGCTCAGGAGTCTCAGTGTAGCGTGGTGAAAGTGCCCTGGAGACAGGACCTTCTCTGCTCCAGTCTGATAATCTCGTGGCATTAAAACAGAAAAAGCCCAGGTGGGCGGGCTCCAGTCTGTCCTTAGTTTGTGCTCATGGAGGTGATCAGGGCAGCGTGCTTTCCCACCAGTCGGCTCAAGGGGGCGACAAGGAGGCTGAAACTTCCTGGAGGCTGAAATTGCAGGAGTCATAAGGGGAACCCAACTCACCCTATACTGGGAAGGTAAAGGAATAGGGCATCACAATCACACCGTAGGAATCTGTGGCAAAACTGTAGGGTGGGAGGAACTTTATTTAAATCGCAACAAAAATGCATCAAGAGGTCAAGTTTACCTAATATGCCCCCCATCCACTACTGAGAGTTTCCCTTCAGGAAAAAAAAAATTCATCTAGGATAAGAGCTGCTGTCCATGTACCTTACCCTCACTCTCTCACAGTTCTCCATGTCTTTTATTTCTCTTGCATCTTCTGATGCTCTCACCTCTTTTCAGAACATGAGGGAAGGAGGCTGCACTAACAGCTCCATCTGCCCTTATGCACATCTAGAGAAAGATTTCCAGTTAGATGAGAACAATGAGGTTGCTCTCAGATGACTTTGGTCTCCACAGAGAAATTCTGACAGGGTCTGGACTCCCTCCGGGCTTGGAGTGGCTTTTCTTTTCCGAACTCCTGAATGTGGTTGGTGATGCTTCCTGGTGACCCGAATCCTGCTGACAATGCTGTCACTCCAGCAATAGTGAATGGGGTGGATGAGTTACACCTGGTGATTTTCTTTCCTAAGTTTTCTCTGTGTTATGGTAAGAGAAATCAGTGCACTACGCTTTCTCCTGTTTGTGCTTGGATGATGAGGGTAGTTATGCATCTCTATATGCGTGATTTTTAGACTTCCAGAGTAAGTAAGACCCCAAGCCTGCTTCAGGTGGCTTCCTCCTACCCCCAAACCCCCAGCTGAGAAGATGCTCTCCTGCACTTGTTGGGATGGGGCACAGCACTTTGAGTCGTCACTGATACAGTAGGCATGGGGACAGCCTGCCCACACTGCTCTCCAACTTCCCTGTGATGCACTGAAGCAGAAGGTCAGGTTCTTTAAGGTTCTTTCTCTCAACTTGCTGCATGGAGCACCTGAAAATTTTCTCATCTTGTTTAATTAGGAAAAGAATGATTGTGTTGGAAATATAAGTATTCAGCTTTGTTCCAGAACTAGAACTTATCACATCTGATGGCCGATACCTGACCTGATTCTTATGGGGAAAATCATGTCTTTCACTTATTTACTTAGTCACTACCACAAAAGCCTGTGGTTTCTCCTTCTCCTCCAGTTTTCCCTGCCACCCACTCTGGCAGTACATTATTTCCTTCAAAGATAATTTACATTAATCTGCTATAAGAAGAATGTCTTACCACTCTGCTTCTTATACACTTTGTAGATGAAAATGCTTCTCCCATACAAACTCCCAACACACTTTGGATTTAAATATAATCTTTTTCTTTTCTGTGATGATTAGCAGATGACTTATAAATACAGCTTCTAACTTAGACCCTTCTGTTTTACTCTTAGCCGATGTGTGTTACTTCTTTGCACTTTCTTTTCTGCCTTTAAAGGGACTGGCTCAATAATTGTGCTTCTAGTTCAGTTGTGTAACACAGTCAATTGAACCGGGATGGATTCTAGTATATTTGCATCATGTTCAGTCCCAGACCGTTTGTGCTCACACTGTCAGAGGTCAGGATAGTAACATTTCCACATCTAAAGATTTGCTATATCAGCTTGGTTATCTTCTGTTGAAATTCATACAGTGCTACATGGCAGAAGTGGGATAGAAATGTAAAAAATGCTCAGATTTCATAGAGTGAAGTAAATATGCAGAATAACCATTCTGTGAAGTCCAATATAATTATGTATATAAATATGAAAATTAATTAAAAAGAATTTGACATATAGTCTTAATATATTTAACTTTTTGTAATACAACTCATAAAATTAAAAACTTAAGTAGCAGAATAATATTTCAAAATAAGTGATACCTGCTTACATGTAGTAAATTCCTTAGAGTCTATATAACACTGTATCTTGTTTTATGTCATTTTCTTAATTTTTTTTAAATATTGAAAACAGGGAGCTCTTCAGTTTTTAGTCTGCACTGCAGGATATTTTGGAGGTTGGAGACTTTCTAAGCTTTGTGGTTGGCCTCTTTCAGGGACTAAACTTGGCACATTGAGTGGCAAGTTAGTCCCTCTTTCAGGGACTAAACTTGGCTCCTTGAATAAAGCATCACTGATTTAACTTCCCTTCTTGGAGAAATCTCATCATTGCCAGCATCACCACTGCTGTCATCTCTGGCTTGCCAAATCCTGCTAGCTCATTCATGGTTCACATGTTTGATTAGGTTGTCTTGGGGTTGTATAAACGTAGACAAACATGTTTTACCAGTTTTATGTATGCATGATCTGAATGCATAGAGCCAGCTGTTTCATCATGCTTTTAAGCGTGGAAGACCAGAGCTAAGACATTGACATCTAACTGGCACTGATTAAACTGGACTAGAGCTAATGATTAGTCTCTTTCCTCTTTACTTGGGGTCAACTTGAGGACAGGAAGTCTCCCAAGCGCTTTCTCAGAGCACACACCACTTCTTTGTTCCTTAGACTGTAGATGAGAGGGTTCATCGTGGGAGTGAGAATGGCACCAAGCATGAAGAGGACCTGGTCCAGCATGGGTCTGTGGTAGGACGTAGGCCTCATGTAGACCAGCATGGCTGGACCAAAGTAGAGGCTCACCACTGTGAGGTGGGAGGAGCAGGTAGCCAGGGCTTTGCTCCTACCCTGAGAGGAATGTACTCGGTGCACAGTGAGGAAGATGAGAGCATAGGAGGTCAAGATGAGGGACAGCGGAATGAGAAGTACCACAGTGCCCGTCACCAGCACAGCCTTCTCATAGGCAGAGATGTCTTCACAGACGAGCTTTAGGATAGCCATAACCTCACAGAGGAAGTGGGAAATTTCTCTGGAGCCACAGATGGGGAAGTGCATGGCGTAGGCTGTGTGTGCGAGGGAGGTAACGGCACCTCCAGCCCACGAGATAGCAATCATCTGCAGGCAGACTCTCTGGCTCATGATAAGGGCATATCTCAGAGGGTTGCAAATGGCCACGTACCGGTCATAGGCCATGAGAGTGATGAGGATACACTCAGCAATTCCTAAAGTCAGAAAAAAGAAGATCTGAGTCCCACAAGCCACCTGCGAGATGTTTCTCTTCCCTGAGAAGAAGTCAGCTGCCATCTTGGGTACAGTGCTAGAGATTAGTGTCAGGTCCATGAGCGCCAGCTGGCTGAGCAGGAAATACATGGGTGTGTGGAGGTGAGAGTCCACCCAAATGAGAAAAATAAGCATGGAGTTTGCAGTGAGAGCCACACTGTAGATCAGCAGGAGAGCAGACACGAGGAAGTTGATATGTTTCATACCAGGGAAGAGACCCAAGAGGATGAAATCCAGGTCTGAAGACTCATTCCCTTTATTCATGCCTCTGCCTTATTAGCTGGAATTCCTCAATCCTGAAAAGAAGCAAGAGTTGGAGAACCATGAAAATGTGTGGGATTCTTTTCCTTTCTCATCCTCCAGCAACATCAGCAAACTGTGTAGTTTTGTAAATGATAGCACTTTAGCTATTTTCATGGCGAAAAGAACTAAACCTGAATCAATGATTCTATTTACAAGGAGAGGTGTTCAAATTCAGCCCTCACCCATCCTCTTTGCTTCTACAATGAACTGCCACCAGCCAGGTCAGTTAATGCCCATTCTATGTCCAGTTCTGATAGGTAGAGTCAGAAGCACCAGTAACCTTCTGCCCCCCTCACTGCACAGAGGTTCTTTCTTCCCTTTTGCCTCCTCACTCATCAGATCGAACCTTGCAAAGCGCCCAGGATTCGCCCCACCCTCACACATTTACACATTCCCCCAGTGTTCTGAATCTGGACTGGATAAAGTTGAATGAAATGGAGTTTCTGATGTTGAAAAGATAACCATTGTGCAGATGGTGTTTGGTGAAAGGCTCACGTGAAAATAACTATGGAAATATTATAAAATAGCCTACATAACACACTGCAATTTGGTGACTCAAAATATTCATTTTTAAAAGAGCTAGAGCAATTACATGATGACAAAAGTCTAACCTCACCCAGTTTTTATCTTTCCTAAACCGAGCCACACCAAATGTGGGACATAGCAGTACAACACTGTAGGCATTTGAGAAGTGACCATGACTAAGAGACTAGAGGATAAGGTTCATGGCTTCTGCACAATCACATCACCACTCTATGTGAAGTAAAAGGACGCAGATTCATGTCCTGCCAATTTTCCAGTTGCACCCTCCATTCAGCTCATCATTAAAAATATGCATAATGACGTTTTCAGGCAATAGGGCCTTCAATTTCTCCTTGCCGTAGCTGTTAGGCCAGTGACAGCTCCTCAGCAGATAATTCCCCAAGTCTCAATGGCTGCAGACACTAGAAGTATATTTCTCATCAGTCTACAGTGGTTCAGGCCTGCAGCGGGCTCCAGTCGGAGTGACACTGCAGGGGCCCGTTCCCTGCCGTCCTGTGGATTTCCATCTTCAGCATGGGCACATCAACCAGCTCGGTAGGCAGGCGGCATGGAAGAGATGTCAGTATCATTGGGCCAGAGCTGAGAGTGCTTCAGGGGGCCTTGCCTTGTGCTTGGATCCAGCCAGGGGAGGAGAGAGCGCACCTCCCTGTGGGAGGCTGCTAAGGGTGCTCAGGAGGAGGGGGAAATGCTTCTGCAAGCAGCTGCCGGTCTCTGTTGTGGCTGCTAAGTCAGTCCTGTCTGTTACACCTAGAAGCAGTTCATGGTAGGACACCGTTTTGCATTGTTTTACCTCTGTGCCTGACCATAGCGGCAGTGCCATCAGGACTCACTGGATGGAGGGGAACAGGCCACTTTTCGTTCAGGAGCGCGGTTCTTCCCTTCCCTTTTGGGAAACTGATTCTGGGCACTTTCCAAATCAGATCCATCTTGGTTTGGAGCAATAGTTTTCTTTTTAAATGTTAGTAATCTAATTGAAATCTCTCAAATTTACTTGATTTGCTAATATATCATAAGTATTTAAAAATTAAAAAATAACCCATTTTTATGGATGCAGTTTTTATTCTCTAGGAGCTCTATCATGTTGAATACCACCATGTAGTGTACTGATGCATGACAGCTGCCCCCTGTGAACTCCTCTCCAGTGTGTAGGAAGTGAGGAAAAGGCAAAAGGAACAGCATAAGCAAAGTGAAATCCTTATACGCATGGAAAGCACTGAGTATTCCCCCTCCCCCCATCTAATTCCCCCCATCTCTTAATACTCCTGGCTGAGGAGGATTCCCGGAAAGGATGAAGAGAGTCTTAGGGAAAATACTCCTGAGTTATCAATATCGAGGCACTTTTTACAAGATTCCTGCCATCTGTGCCTATAAGCAAGTTTGCCTGTCTAACAATTTGTTTACCTAAAGCACAGTTTACTGTGAGATTTCCAACAAGTTAAGAGACAGATGAGGTGTTGGGCATAATGCAACCCTAATGATATCTACCAGCCAAACAATAGTTTTCTAGTACTGCATAATAGCATTCTAAGACTCAGTGGCTTAAAGCAACACATAAATACTATACAATTTCTTCTATCAGGGATCTGAGCACACCTCAACCTGCTGTCTTTGCATAAAAATTTTTAACCAGACTGGAGTTGACATCCTGGCTGATGTTAAACTTATTTCAATGCTCAGCCGGGTGGGGATCTGCTTCCAGGCTTGAGTGTTGTTGGCAAAGATCAGTCTCTTTCTTGTGGACTCTCAGATTGAGAGGCTCAATTTTCATTGGTTGTTGGGGGGGAGGCTTTCGTTCAGTTTATTGCTTTCCATGGGGTCAGCTTACTGCATGAAAGCTGGTTTTCTTGGAGAAAGAGAGAGAGAGGGAGAGGAGAAGGAAAGAAGAGGGAGGGAGGGAGGGAGGAAGGCAGAGAGAGAAAGAGAGAAAGGAGAACACAGTGTTTTGAAACCTAATAAACAGAAGTAACAAGTGACAGTAATCCAACCTGTGTTTAGACAGTGGATTGTAAAGGCTGTGGATATAGACAAAAGATTCCTTGGACCATCTTGGAGGCTGCTTATCACAAACATTCTCTGAATTCATTACATTTTTGTAGTACTTTTCGATTTTAAGTTCAGACCATGCCTTTAAAAAATCGGTTTGTTCGTATCCTGTTATTTTTATATTGCTATTATTTTAGTGATAAAGTTTAGCTAATGACTACTCAATAGATTCTCAGCCAAGATAATAGTGAAGGAACCATACACATGCCTCTAATATTATTGTGATTTTCTTATTTACTTTCTGGGTTTTGCTATAAGTCATCACTTGAGGAATTTCCAAGTTATTCATACTGATTCACCCATGCAGTAGGTCAGTTTACTGGGAGGTCTAGTGACTTGATAGCCACCCTCATCTCGCTGGAATGTTGAGCAAATAAATCATTTCAATGTGGGTGCTAGGAAGCAGGATTAGAAAGTCGGCAGTGTTGACTGCGTGTTGTGATAGATTCTGCTACTTGGTTTAACCTGTTATTGAACACACTGGGCTTGGTCTTTTCCTACTGTATAGCCTTTCTCATTTGGGTTTGGAATCTTGTACGGTATCACAGGTGTAGACTTAGAGGGTTTTTCCAAGGCTTGCAGCCCCAGTGAAATAGTGAACAAGTTTATCACCATGATACCCACCATGGTACCCACTGTACTCACTCCTGAAGTCTTCTGACAACTTTGCACATTGGTGAGTTCTTTGGATGATGATGTGACAGCGGAGTGTCTTGAGGTCTGTCCCACTGCCAGCAGAGTCTTGTGGGTGACTTCCTTTCTTTTAGGCTCGATGAGCCCGTCGCCCTGTTGTTCAGATGTCCTTTGCTGGACCAGAGCCCTGTGATTAGCAGATTGTCTCCACGGGGAGGTCCCGGGCTCGGGGAGAAGGGATGCCAGGAGATGAAGGAGTGGGCTTCTGAGAGTGGCGCCTCTGGGCTCAGGACTCCCTGGGGGCAGGGAGTGAGGGTTCTAGCGCCCTCCACTCATGCAGCAGAGTAGCAGCTCTTCCTTCACCCCGGCTTCGCGCTCTGCTCTCCCGCAGCCCCATGGGCACTGACTTCAGGCGCATGTGCCACCGAGTCACAGATACACCTTCAAAACAGCATCTCACTCGATGCTTCCTCTCATTTAAAATTTTACTCCTCTGTTTGGCGTTCTTGTTCTGCTTTTCCTTTCTTGCTAGCATTGACTCTGTCCATCTGCGCTTTCTAATTTTATGGACGACTCCCCTTCCCCCAGTTTCTTATACACTATATCTTTTTCCACCTTGCCTTTAACAGGAAATAAATCCCAGTTTTCCTGATACTTGCCACTACGAGAGGAAACTATGCTCAGAAAATGTCAGTGGTATACAAAGAAAGGGGCCTCCTTATTTCCTGATGAGCAACTAATTGTGATACATGGCACATTCTCTCATTTCCAGAGTTCTATTTGGATAAGATCCATAATTCTAGGAGGGTTTATTAATTTTCAAGGTAAAAATGTAGAATTTTATCACATTTGGTCATCTTTCATTTAAATAATTACTTCAATAAATCGAGCAAATGTGGTTTGCTCCAAGAAAAGCAGTTTGAAGGCAGTCATATCTGCAAGCAGCTCACGAGATAAAAAGGCAGCTCATGGACCCTCATCTGAAAGCTTTGGTAAAATCTTTTGCATTTTAGTAAAACAAACAGGCTTCTGACCCCATTGAGATGCAACTACTAATGTATGTGTTGACCTCTATCAAGGTAAAGTTTATATTATAAAGGAGAACAGTTCCCCATTTTCTTTTGTCTTACTGTGGTTTTCTAGTTTATTTTATAAGTACAGAGTTTAAACAACCAATGTATATTTCTATACTTGTCCATTTTCTTTGGGGTAGTCCATCCCAGTAGATATAAGTGAAAATTTTGTGTTGCCTTCTGTACAAGAAAATTCAGAAATTGTTACCTAGGTGGGGTGATGGTTTTATGCTCAGAATCTTCTCACTGGCTCTAGATTTCAATCCACTTGGTGGAAGCTCTGTTTTTCCCTGCGCATAGCTGCTTTTTGCCTTCAACAAGAAGAGCTCTCACCTGACATTTCTATGGTGTCCTTTCTCTAGAGCCAGATAGAAGTGGACCCAGAGCTCCCTTGAGTCTCTGTGGATCCCTTGGTTATCCTGGATGCTGCTCAGTGTTGAATCGGTTGCCCAGGGGAACCAAGGTGGTTTAGTTGTGATTCTTGTGGCACTGTTTTGAGAGTGAAACAGAAAACTGTATTTTTCTGAAATTTAGAGTTTACAAAAATTCTTTAACGTACTGTACAACACATAATCCTCTACAGCACAGAGTCAGAAGGAGAATAGGTGTTATCATCTCAGCATTACGGGGACTTAGAGTGATATTTGAGGTTCACACAGCTACTCAGATTCTAGGATTAATGGGTCTTCACTGTAATACATCTTTCACCTAAACATTCACTATATATATATATATCACATCGTTTATACACAGTGCAATATTCGTCATCCATAAAGAAAGGTGGAATAATCTGATGTTCAGGAAAATGGGTGGATGCAGAATCCCTTATTCCAAGTCAAATTAACCAGATAACAAAATTAAATATCTCAGGTTTTCTCTTAGGTGGGAAACTTTAGAAACATGTAGATGAATACATAATAAAACAAAGCATACAGGAAACCAGATTATAGAGCTCTGGAGGCACAGAAGGGGACAGTGGGAGGGAGGAGGATGGAAGGGGGGTGAAGATGGGATTGAAATTGAGAAGATATGTTACGTGTGCACCAACTTCCTCAAATAGGTCCCATGATCATGTAGTATTAATATTCACTAATATAAAAAGATTTCATAAAATACAAAAGAGACACAAAGTTAAATGTTGCATGTTTTATTATAGGGAAAACCTACTAATTAAATAATTAAATGAATAAATAAATGAATAAAGCAGATATATCAGGAAAGGCAAAAGTAGACTTTGACAGATGGAAGGATTTATCTGGGAAAGGTAAGAAAAGGAAAAGAGAGCGATGGGATTTAACAAGATCAAGATATGTTACATGCAGGGCTGGGGATTTAGCTCAGTGGCTTAAGTACCTGCCTGGCAAGCGCCAGGTCATGAGTTCAATCTCTGGCACCACAAAAGAAAAAAAAAATTACATATATGAACTAAATCTCCAAAATGATATTTATGTATTACTAACATGTATTACTAACATGTATTAATAAAAAGTAGCTGTCAATGCTGCATAAACCAATTCAGTAACGTTGCAAGGTGAAAAAAATCAGTGCACAAAACTAGTAGCATTTTATACACTGGTGACAGATGTGCTGCTGAGGTTTATACCTGGGAGTCCACCCAAGCCTCATGTGCTCATAGGCAGGGCTTCTGGAAGTGGTTGGATCATGGGGGTGTGGTATCATCACTGGATTAGTCTACTGATGCGCTGATGAACTGGTCACCCTCTAAAGGCTGCACCCCTCAACCATGGGGACTCAGCCCTGGACTCGAGCTTCTCAGAGACACTTTGGATTCAGACTGCAATAGGATCTTAAAATCTGACCACTATGTTTTTACTAGAGAAGTTCCAACTTTGTGTTCTTACATTTTAAATAAATATTGAGGGGCCATGGACGTAGCTCACTGGGCACATTACCTGCCTGGCAAGTGTAGGGTCCTGAGTTTGAATCCTGGTACAAAAAAACTGAGATTTACTCTAAATTCTAAAGAAGTGTGTGTATGTTTTGTCTTACTCTTGCCTAGTCTGATTTTAACTTCCATCTGTTAGACTCTCAGCTAAAATAACTAAGATTCATTTTCATTACCTATAACATAAGGCCTCATTTATCATGCCTAGGAGGCCTAGAAAGGCTGAGTTGTCCACAGTGAGTGACAAGAGCCCAGCCTGACTCCAGATGCATGACCCCTTTAATGCTGCACTCATCCCTGGCCTGCAGTGGCTTGAAGGATTTGCACATATTGGCTTGAAGGGTTCACACACATCAGCTGATTTAACCCTAATGCTAGCAGGTTGGTGCTGTTGGTTTATTCCGATCACCAGGGGAAGATTGCATGGTCTTCTTAGAGGCACAAGATTGAGTATAAACTGACAAGAAACACAAAGAAGAGATACTTGTTGGGTCTAAGAAAGTGGAAGTGTTTTGCTTCATGAAGGATCTTGGCTTGGGGTGCTGGTGTGTGATTCTTTTAGCTGACCTTTCAACACTTCAAGGCAGAACAGATGACTTTATTTATTTTTCTTGATTTTTGTATTTTGAAGGTAGTGAAATACAACAAAACAAGACAGAACAAAGTCAGTTGAGACAGTACAGTGAAATTGGTACAGAACCTCACAGTAAGATACTGGGATAACAGTAATTGGTATCATAGTATATCTTGTTATCTTCACAATAGTTGTCTATTCAATCAGGTATAGTAAAATTAAGCCAGAAACAGAACATTATAAGACTTATCAAGACAGAGTATTGAATAGAGCAAAACAATTCATCAGAACAAAGCAAAACAGTGAAAACAATATTTGCCTTCAAAGAGAAGACAGAAGGAAATCCCTCATATTTGCTATATTGCATACTGTCATCCTCCCAAGGGATGCTCAGACCTCTGGCTCGGGTCAGCATAATCAACCCCAAAATACAAGCATTTAGTTGCTTTATGTGCCTTAGTTGCTCTCAACTCAGGCTGTCCTCCGAACCATCCAGTTGCTAATGGGGTGGGTGGGGTGATGGGACATTTGATTCTCGGCCTGCGTGCTGGTCAGCTCATGGAGACATCGACTTGTTCTCTTCCCGGCTCATCCACCACTCACTCACACTGCAGCCACTTACCAGGAAGGAGGACATGTTGTTTTCTTGCTCAGGCCCCTAAGTTCTCACATGGCTCCATCTCGGGAGATGCTGACTGGTTCTGTTCCTGGCTCACACGCTGCTTACTTGTGCCACCAGAACAGATGCCTTTAGTCATTCAGACTTCCACTTTGAGAGCCCACCCAAGAATGTGAATTTTCTTGCTCCCAGCAGACGATTAAATCTTTCTCTTCTGAAGCAAGCTTAGGTAGATGAGTGTATTTGTGTGTCAGGCATAGTGGAATAAAATGGTGATGTGTACTAATCAGAGGACTAGCATAAATTCAGGATTTTAAGTTCAAAGAAGTGGTCCTTTTGATGTGTTTTCAGGTCATGGACAGTCTGTTTTACCCTTTAGTCTTAGTGACACAAAAGAGCAGGGAAGTATGTGCCTTGTAACATATTTGTAGATCTTATGAGAGCTTGTGAAGTCCTAAATCTCTAAAAAATAACTGGAAGAAATATGCCAACATAAAATTGGAATCACCCAGAGCTAGCCTGGTGATTTTTCATGTTTTGTGGGGGCATCTGCTGGTGACTGTATTCTTTAAAGCTGCGGTGACCTCCTTGTTTCTGAGGCTGTAAATGAGAGGATTGAGCATAGGGGTAAGGATGGCATTAAACATAAAGAGAGACTGGTTTAATGTAGGAGTCTTTGAGGATCCAGGCCTCATGTAAACCAAGATGGCGGGGCCAAAGTAGAGGGCAACCACACAAAGGTGCGAGGAGCACGTGGCCAGAGCCTTGCTCCTGCCCTCAACAGAGCATGTGCGGAGGACAGCAAAGAAGATGAGTGTGTAGGAGGCCAGAATGAGACTCAGGGGAATGAGAACCACCAGAAAGCTGGACACTACCACTGACCTCACATATGCAGAGATGTCCTCACATGTGAGCTTTAACAGAGCCATAACCTCACACAGGAAGTGTGGGATCACTCTGGGGCGGCAGATGGAGAAGTGCATGGCATACGCCGTATGAGCCAGGGAGGTGACTGCTCCTCCTGCCCAGGACACTATGACCATCTGTGTGCAGACAGAGGGGCTCATGATGCCTGAGTACCTCAGGGGGTTACACACTGCGATGTAGCGGTCATAGGACATGAAAGTCAGCAGGAGACACTCAGCAATTCCCAGAGTTAGACTAATAAAGATTTGGGTTCCACAGCCAACATGTGATATGGTTCTCCTGCCTGAGAAGAAGTTAGTGGCCATTTTGGGGACAGTAGTTGAGATCAAAGTGAAGTCCATGAAGGACAGCTGGCTGAGCAGGAAATACATGGGGGTGTGGAGGCGTGAATCCAGCCAGATGAGGAGGATAAGAACAGCGTTGCCCAGCACTGCCAGAAAGTAAACCAGAAGAATGAGGCAGATGAGTATAAGGAGGTGGTGGGACTCAGGCCAGAGTCCGAGGAGAGTGAAGTCTGTGGTGATTGTCTCATTGTTTCTCCGCATAGCTGAACACCACTGTCGAGAAAGGACAGGCAATCGTGTCACAGCATCTTTATATTAAATAGTTCTGTACAGCAAAGGATGCAGTCCACAGAGTGAAGAGATCACCTAAAAAATGGGAAGAGATTTTCCAAGTGCTATCATGACAGAGGAGTAATATCTAACATATATAAAGACTTAAAATTAGCCACATTCCTGAAGGAATTAGAGGCATCATTACTATAGTGATTAGCACAGTCATGCTAGCACTCAGCACATCTTGCTGTAGAGCTGAGCACCGTTCACAACAGCTGAGCTCTGCCAGCCACCCTGATACCCATCTGCAGACAGGTGTGAGGAACTTGTAAGTGTTAATGAGGAAAAGAGGAGTGAAATGATGTTGTTGGCAGGAAAATGATGGATCTTGATGTTAATGATGTTACATGAAGTAAGTCAGACAGAGAAAGTAAAACATTGTCTTACATGAGAGATTAAAATACAAGTAAGAAAGTGAGTAAAATAAAGAAGAGATGACATGAGAGAAGAAAATGAGAAAGCAGGCTTTTTGGAGCTAGAGAAGGGGATCAGAGAGGGGTGAGGTGGTGGCACCAAAATGCCTGAAAGTGGTCACACTGTGTTATGTGCATGGACCAATTAACCTAGATAAGCATCACTGTATACACTGCAAACACACGGAAGGAGAGGTAAGTCAGTCATTTATGCAGCCAGAAGAAGAATATTATAACTTCAAATGACATGGGACTGTGCAACTAGTCTACCCTCACTCTCAGGTCACCTTGGATTATCATACACCAACTTCTTTTCTTGTTGTGGTGTCTTCAGTATTATGAGTCACTTCTCAACACTAAGATTTTCACTTATTTTCTCTTATGGATTGCTTAGAATACTTATCTATGTTATAAGTTGTAAACTTGGTCATAGCTAGTAGTGAACAGAAGTATATTCCAATGTTTTTGCAACAAACAGGCAATTGATTTGATGAAAATTTACTATAAGCATTTCTTTTTTATTCTTTTATTTTTGTGGTACCAGGGATCAAACTCAGGACTGCACTCTTCACGCCAGGCACTTACGCTGCTGAGCTAAGTCCCCGGCCCACTATAAGCATTTCTTAAATAATCAACTTACCATTTTGAGTTCCTTTGTAGGTGCTAACTCAGCAGAAGAGGTATAGTCATTTTGGATTTTGAAAAGTCCTTGTTTTTCATTAAACTTGTGAGGTGTCATGGAAAAGAAAGATTCTCTTCAAGACAAAAAGTAGAAAACTGGATAACCTGAAAGGAGAACAGCATTTTCAGAATTCCTTGTGGTTTGTGCTTATTTTTCCATTGCACAAAGAGAAGGTCTCAATTTTTCCATTCTCCTTGTGCTATGGGAGGTGGAAATGTGTAATAGAAGTAATTTGAGATCTCAGCTGATGACACAGAGTGGAATGTACAAGACTGTCATAGAGGAAATTGCTAGGGTGCATTTGTAAAAGATGATTCACTTTAAACATATAAATCTCATTTGAATGCTGGGCATGGTGGTGCATGCCTGTAATTCCAGCACTTGGGAGGCCAAGGCAGGAGGATCACTGCAAGTTGGAGGCCACCCTAGGCTACATAGTGAGTTCAAGGCCATTTGAAGTACATAATGACACCCTGTCTCAAAGCCAAACCAAACCAAACCAAACCAAATGAAACTGAACCATTACCAACAAAAATGATCTATTCTGTTAAGAAATCTTTGGTTGTGATTATGAAGTCTAGAAGCTTAGTATCAAAGATTCTAGCTCTGTTTAGCAAGTGACCACAAGGGCTGCCTAATGACCTTGGGTCATCCTTCTCTGTATCTCTTCATTCCTTTGTAAAACTGGGCTAAAACTTCTGGTCACACATGGATGAGTTACTGATTTAAAAACTGATGCATTCAGAGAGTACAGAACACTGCCAGGCCAGCAGTTCTGAGACACTGGCTACATTAGATGTAACTGAAATGTTACTTTGCAAAAATATCAGATTTGTTGCCTTTAACGTTCCTTCAGGTTCACCTGTCCCTCTACTGTGCCATTAAGAAGTGATATCACATCTTTTTTTTATCCATTTCTCAGCTGATGGGCATTTGGGTTGTTTACAAGATGTACCTATTACAAATTGTGCTATTACAAACATGGGTGCACATATATTGCTGTGGTATGAAATTTTCAGTCATTCTGGGAAGATACTCAGAAGAAGAATAGTTGGTAAGAATGGGACCTCTACTCCTACTAGGTTTTTGAGGAATTTTCATACTTATTTCCAAGATGGAGAAAAAAAGGAAGGGAAACGGAAAAAATATGCATATATACACAAACAGTTACACTGCTAATTGCTATTAGTTCATTGAAAGGAAAAGTTTGGGCCTATATTGTTTGATCAATTTTTCATGCCTATATTTTGCAATATGAGCAACCACTCTGAAGACAAAATGAAAGTACTAACCATTGTTACTCTCCTACGATCTTGTTTTGAAATTTCATACCATTGTTTTTGTTTTATTTTCTTTGAAATTAAATAAAAAGAAGTGATATCAAGCAGAAGAAACTAAAGGTGGGGCATAAATGTAATGGAGGCACGTGTGGTGAGCATTTCTTGGCTTGGCTAATTTTTTTTTGTCTTTTTCGTTTTTATCGGTACCAGGTATCGAACTCATGACCGCACACTTGCAAGGAAGGTGCTTATGCCGCTGAACTAAATCCCCAGCCCCTTGGAGGCTAATTTTTAAAAAAAATTTTGGAGGAACAAAACTTTAGTTTTGCTTTAATGAAGTATATTTCTCACTTTCAAAGCCCTCTCTCAAATTCTCTGCCTGACACCTGGTTCTCCCAGATGGCCTTCACTTCTCTCTGTTTCTCTTTTCTTGTGTTCATGGGGGTTGCAGTTTGCTTTACAACACAGCTATAGACAAATATTACACTTACCACATTCATATACAGTTTACTGAAGGGGAATTATGTTCTTTCTTAAATGTTTCAAGTCTCCAACTCTGCATCCTTGGTACCTTGAAGTGACAGATGATTAATATTTAAGCAATAGACTGAATTTTTGTGTTTTCTGTTTTGGAGACATGAGTCATGGAATGTTTGATCCCATTGCCCGAGACCCCTGAATTATTCATTCTGAAAGTTCCTAAACTTACATGATGAAAAAAACTGTAACATTTCTTAAAAATAAAAATACATATCTCCCTTTTTAGACTTGGTGGCTTATACTTTCCAGACAATCTTTATACTGTAATCAGTCCAGGATGAGAAACGCCAGTTTACAATGTCTACATTTTATGAATAAGTGCATGAGTTTTGCTGAGGTTGTACCATGGACATGTTTGTGCAGTAATATATGATTCACATGATACTGCAAATCTGACTGGAAACCCCATCTGATACATCTCCCAGCTATCCACACAATCTAAACAGCCATTATACTTTACTGCACATTATTTCTGCAGTAACATAAAGGATCTTCTCATGCTTTTTCTATTTTCAGTGTTCCTTTAAGATTATATATTTCTATAAGACCATGTAGTTTTCTGATGGATTTAACTACTATTTATGCTTAACCAGGTGAATTCCGAATTTAAACGCTCTTGTGTCAACAGGTTTGGGAATTAATGCCATATTTTCCCCTTACTTGTCTTGCTTACTCATTCTTCATTTGTTGAGGGTACATTTTCCTTGAAGATTCATGATAAAATCACCTGACTGCTGAACTCCTGAGGTTGAGGGAAACAGGTGCATCTTTCCCTGTATTCAGATGTGGGAAAGCTTCTCTATCCTGACCATGGCCCAAAGGTTACACAGAGGTGAGAGCAGGCTCTGTAGTGAAAGAGGCATTCAGTTGCATCTTGAAGGCAGTAAGAGCTTTCCTGTGGGGTCAAGGGTGCCCTGTTGTCAGGGACACAGTGCAGATGAAATAGAGTAGCAAGGAGGATAACATTTCCACCGATCTGTTGGATCAGGGCTCAGAGCTTCTGGATCCAAGCAAGAGGAGGCGAGATGCTGTGTAGGTAGCTGCCTGCATCACTGCGGTTGGGACAGGGAGCGGTGGCATCAACACGACTACCAGAAAGGAAAATGGGTGCAAAGTGAAGAAGACCAATAGCTTCAGCAGGAATTTAAGAAGTTGACTTCGGGAGCCCTGCAGGTGTTAGCATACATTTCCTGAATGCCGGCTGTTTTCTGAGTGTGTCAGGCACCCTGATCTGTACAGCTATCCATGTGCCATGTCACCAACCGGATCCGTGAGCCCTGTGGCAGCCAACTCCGCAGTCATGGAAATCACTGTTTGCCAAGTGTCCCAGGCTCGCAGGACTGCTGTGCTTCAGTCGTGTGAGGCCACAAGTCATTTGCACGCTGCACTGACTTGTCACCCTGGAGAACGGATGCGCTTCTTTGGTGCTGGTATTCCATGAAAACAATCTACTTCTTTGGCTGCTTTTTGATTTAAGGCAAGTTGTGGAGAAGACTGGCAATTCCTGTGTAAGTCTTTCTTTGCCAGATAGTTTCCCTGCCCAGGGCTGCCCAGGGCTCGGAATGTTTCTGATAATGTTCGCATGCTCCTTCTGAGTAATATGCTAGCACATTATCCTAATGTGAGCCATGCTCATATGGGGGAGAGGTTAGACTCTCACTGAGGGAAAATGCTTAATATAAAGTAAGAGACTTTGGCGTCAGAATGGTATACAGCTTTAAACATCTTGGTTATAACCGTGAGGTCTTCAAGCTGGAAGCCCCTGTGACATCATTTTTAACAGTCCACAGTTCTGGCTCCCAGGGCATAATCTTAAGAATAAGGACAGTGAGAATACTAACAAAATATTAAATGCCATCATTTTACCTTATTTATATCTCCTCAACATTTGAGATCAGAATAGATTCATTTTACCTGTAGGAACTCTGAAATTTAAAGAGGTCCTACAGCAACCCTAGGAAGTCTAAGCTGAGGGTTTGCACTCAACTTATATAAAATGTTTTCTGAAGATATGTGCAAAGCTGAGGTAAACTGGTCTCTTGTCAACTACAGACTTGGGAAGCACAACCAAAAGCTAAGGTGGTACTGGG